ATGTGAATTAAACATTTTTTTCTTCTCAAAATTAATTGTAATTATTTTATATTATAAATTTTTATATTTTCAAATTAATATTCCATGTAACAAGTTCAAAAAATAATTTGTGTAATTTCTTTTATTTTTTAATTTATATATAATATAATCTTTTAATTTTTAATAGATTAGTTTTATTTTTTAATTCACATATTTTTTTACATAATTATATTATAAAAATTAGTTTACTTAAAGATAATAATTTAAATTAATAATTTAATTATATTTTATTATGAAATAAATAAAATATTACTAATATTTTACAAATTATTATCTTTAAGTAATATTGAAATCATTAATTTGTATAATTATTATAATATACGTCCATGATTATTTTTGTATTTTTTAAAAAATAATGTTTGATTTTTAATAATATTAAATATAATAATATTTAATTATTAAAAATTAATGATTTTTAATCAAATAAATTGATTTCGAGTGATAAGATCATTTTATTAATAAAATTATTTTAATGATTAAATTATCATAATAATTTTAAAAATAATATCAAATATTATCTAAGAATACAAAATTCTATCAATAAATCATCGTATGGTTATTGGCTGAGGTTAGTGATTAGATAATTTGCTTTTACGATTTTGTGCTTTGAAAAAAATATATCTTGGTCAAGCAATGATAGATCTTTACTTTTAAGTCATAATCCAATATTTTTTGGTTCTTAACGATGAGGGATCCCTTTCTCCTTAATACTAGTTCTCAATATTCAAGAGTATGAAGCGTGTTTTTTTCCGAGAACCGATGTGATTTCTGACATACGACTCATTGTATGTATAGTAACTACGATATGTTATTATCGATTTGAATAACTTTAAGATTCGCTTCTTTTTTAAAATCGAGAGGCAATCTAAGTATTCAAAACTTATTCATACAAATATTTTTATAAAAAAAAAAAAAAAACAAAATTTTGTTTATACAAATCGAGAGGCGCCCCTGATTTTCGAAGTTATTTCCAAAGTAAGATGTTTGCAAGTGGACATTTGCTTAATAAGGCAAATGGGTTTTCGTAGATGTTGCCATAGCCTGATCATGAGATGAAAATGTGAAAGCTTGTTAAAGGATCTGCTGAAAAAACTAGCTATCAACTGTTGACCAATTACATCGATCTTTGCCGACCTAATGATTAAAACTTTAGCCCAAAAAATATTGATATCTCCTGCTCGAATAACGAAAATCAAGGCCACCATCACATGTTGGTGGCTAAACCTTAGTTATATCTCTTATGTTTTTATTTTAACCCAACTCCAGGAGTCCAAGTCAATTGATCATTAACTACAATTCCAGGTTATTAAAATATTGTAAATTGATGTTTGGGGAATATTAGTGTCTTAATCATGTGCTCAGACTGAGAAAGTGACCGTTGATCTTCAACAGTTGTTTTAAATTAATAATGGGGTTGAAATTCATTACTATCAAGCTATTAACGTCTAGATCTCGTGTGTGATAGAGTACTATTGATCAAACATTCAAAAATCTTTCTTTTGAATGCCTTTTAATGTGTGTATACGCAGACATTCATGATATTAGATTGGGACAGTTGGGGTCCAAGAAATGCATATCCTTAATGAGTTTCAATTGCCTTGTGTTAGATATAACGATTACCATTGTCTCAATGAGCAAAGGACATCCAATCTTAACTCCTAAGCAATCTTGAAAATATTTCAAGCTACACTCGCAATATTTCATACAGATATTTTTAAAAAGTGATAATTTTTTTTATTCTCAAATTATTGCTTGTCTTATATCAAAAAAATAATAACAACCGTAATATTATCATTTTAAAAATACCCTCGCAACACTCTTTTAACAAAGTCTTTTCAATATTCTATACATATATTTTTTTTTAACATTCCTAAATAAAATCATTACCCATGGCATTATAAGGTTCACATTCCTTAACTGTCAGCAGAGAGCCAGCATTGTCTATGTGAATCCATGTAAAAAGAGACGTTGGAATTTGGCTGCCGGCCATGGCCATTGCCAACACAAAATTCCTTTCACTAAGCATAAAAAAACTACAAGTAAATAATTATTGGAGTTGGGGATGCCTAATTCTATTTGATTCCATTGGATTTTAGTTTCACTACCTTTTAGACTTTTTCAACTCTAGAGTTTAGTAATATTTAAGTATTTGAGCTATGATTGTACAGTCCAAGAAGGAGGGGCTGAGGGCTAAAGCTTAAGCTTGTTGTTGGGTTGGAAGGCAATCTCATTAGTAATTTGATGAAGATTGTTTGGAAACTTGGGGAGAGGTGAACCCCACGTGAATAAACCAAACCCTTCGCCTAAATGTATGTGATTTAATTTACTGCTCTTAATTATGCTTTAAATTCTCGAAAACTCTTTTTTTTTTTTTTTCATTAATTAGAAATGGTGCTTTCCGATTTCTCAACTACATTCACTTTGGTTGCTCGTGATTTTAATTAGTTTTAACCACTACAAAATACTAATAATTGCATTTGGATTTTTATTAAATTGAAATCCGAAAGTTATAAATTGTTGATAAATAATGATATTTTGCTATACAGATCACTTAGTTTCGGTATAACAAATCAAGAGAGAAAAATGGTTGAAAATTTTTTTACCTATGATATTGGATTGCATAATGAGAAGTATCACTTTTTTTATCTTTTAAATCTGATTTGGTCCATTTTTAAATCCAAACTCAAAAATTTTAACAATAAAATTTAAACTTTAATAGTTGAGACGTCTCTTTAAAAAACAAAAGTTGATTAATTGTTTTACCTTCTTTTATTAACTTTAATATTTTAGTAGGAGAACGAAAAATCTTGTTTTATAACATATTTGTTGATGGATTAAGGGTTTATTTTAGCCTTGATTTTATTTTATTTTATAAGTAAAAATATTAAATTTTGATAATTGAAATTAAAAGTTTAATATTCTATTAATAAATCGTGTAATTGTTTACTTATCTTAATTTCATAAGAAGATGAGAAAAAAAAAGAAAGGAAGAAAATTTAGTTTTACTCTTTTAATTGATTATTAAAGATAATAAAATAATTAAATCTAAGTTTTTTTAATAAGCTAAGTACCATTCTATACTATGCTTTTTTTTTTTTAATATCATGGAAATGATCATGATCATATTTTTATGGATACGTAAAATAGGTAAATCAATCTGTTTCCTTTACACCTTTTTTTTTTTCCAATTTCATTGTATTTTTTTTCTCTCATTTCCTTCTAGCAAAATTCTTTCTCTCCACTTTGTTTTTTCCATTCCTCAATAATCTTGCTTTTTGTTGGCAATAATATCTCAAATCATCTTGGACACTACCCCCTTTAACTTTTATTCCATTTACTTTCTCTCATTTTTACCAAAATCCTAGAGATGCTAAACTGAGTTCCAAGGAAAAATCTAATTAAGGAATCAAATCAAAAGTTAATTTCATCAAAAACACAAAAAAAAAAGGAATAAATAGCTTTTTTTTTTCTTCTTTTCCCACATCTCCCCCATCACTCATTAAGAGCCCAATGAATGTGATAACCATGCCTTCCCCTTATGAAACATAACCGTGTTAGGCGTGGATTTTAATCCTGTTTTTGGAGCACCAAATAAATATTAAAAGGGCAACTTCATTATTCACTAATCTCATGCTTATAACCAATGATTAGTTTAATTTGTTTTTATTTTTTTAATAAGTACTCTTAAAACACTTTTAAAATTAGTTAATATATTGTTTATAATAATAATTTTATATCAAATACAATCATTGATAAATTTAATCATAATTTTTAATATAATGAATAAAATATTATTTTACAAATAATAATATTAAAAAGTGTCATTAGACTCATTAACAAAATCTTTAAATCATCTTATTTTTGCGATATTTTTGTCGAAGCCACTGCCATAATTTAAGTTAAGAAATCTTCTCTGACAATCGATCAAAATCAACAATAACTATGTTTTTTTTTTTTTTTTTATCTAAAAAAACAATCTCTCTTTCTAAATTTAAAGATAAAAAAAAAAAAAAAGTTAGTTAACGTTAGCACACAACAATGTGGAATTATGATTGTATGCCTCGCTTTATCTAAGCTGTCAAGCTAATTCATGATTGCTAATGGGACCCCAAATTGGCCGTACCAGCGGCAAAAGTTTCCATTTAACAGTAACTTAAACAAAAATCAAAAGCCTTCTTTGTTTTTTTGTAAGGTGATTAGACTAAGCAATTTTACAAAGATAAATTGATGATTAAGGATCTAAGATGATTTGTCAAATCTTAATTATCTTTAATAGTATATTTTCTCCCACGCCTAAAACATATTGCCCAGTAATAATATTGCATAATGTTGGATCAAGATGTGCCATATGAATTACTTACATAATGCTTGAAATTATTATTGATAATTATATAAGTTTAACACACTTTGATATATATTTTTTGTTTTTTCAATTACAAATGAAGTTCAAATTTTAAAATTTTTAATCTCCATACTTATTTTTAGTATCATTGAGTTATGATGTAGTTTCGTAGATTATATTTAATTATACTTGAAATTAGTATCAATTTGATAAGTTTAACATGATAATAAACTTAATATGAAACAAAATGAAAAAACTAAATTAGGTTCCAATGACTTAATATGATCACGATCCCAAAATTGAATTCACATTAAAAAATGAAGTTAATCACCACCTTTTTTATTTTCTTTATTGCAAAAAATCCCTCGGCTATGAGAAAAAAAAATGAAAAAACAAAATCGCCGTAAAAGAGCCGTTGCTTAACATTGAGCATGGAATTGCATTGGCAAGCAAAGGACAAAAATTTTACCCCAGTTTTGTTTTTTTTTTTTTTTTTTCCAATAAACTTTTACCTAGTTTAGTGCATATCATTATAAAAAATCATCAAGGTTAATTTAAGAAAGTAAAAATTGTACAAAAAATATTAAAATAAAACATTACCAAAGGTCCAAAATCTCAGAGGTGGACTCCACCTATGAAGCAGCTATAAATATGCACCGTTTCTTTTCTCCTCAAAGTCCTCTCCCCCAAAAATTTAGCTACCCCTAACTCTGCGCCCCTTCCTCAGTTTAGTTCTCTCCGTTTTCACTGGAAAAAAATAAAAAAAAAGCAGAGTCAAAGGAAACAAATTATATTCCGACAGCATATTTTTGTTTTCGACGGGCACTAGAAAAGCCACTGTTAGCTGTTAAAGTAACAATGGTTGACGTGGACCGGAGGATGTCCGGTCTGAATCCGGCCCATATAGCAGGCCTACGCCGTCTCTCTGCTCGCGCTTCCGCTCCTTCAACTCCGGCTTCCCTTCCTGTTCGCAACGGTCTTCAATCTTTCTCTTCTTTAGCGGAAAAAGTTATAACCCATTTACGAAATTCGGGTTTCCAAGTCCAGGTGGGTTTATCAGACGCCGAGTTCGCCCGAGCGGAAGCCGAGTTTGGTTTCGTTTTCCCACCTGACCTCCGAGCCATATTATCAGCCGGGTTACCCGTGGGTCCAGGATTTCCTGATTGGCGACCTAGTGGAGCCCGACTCCATCTTCGGGCTTCGCTCGACCTTCCCATCGCTGCAATTTCCTTTCAGATCGCGCGTAACACTTTATGGTCCAAATCTTGGGGGCCGAGACCGTCCGACCCTGAGAAAGCTTTACGGATCGCAAGGAATGCGCTCAAAAGAGCTCCCCTTTTGATCCCCATTTTTAATCATTGCTATATTCCTTGCAACCCGTCTTTAGCGGGTAACCCGATTTTCTTCATCGACGAGACCCGTGTTTTCTGTTGTGGATTTGACATATCTGATTTTTTTGAGAGGGAATCTTTGTTTAGGAACTCCGAATCCGACCCGGAATTGTTGAAAAAACAGAGATCGGTCAGTGAAAAATCAGCCGGGTCATCCACCAATTTCTCGAGGCGGAGTTTGGATGCTGGTTTGGTAACCGGGACAAGAACCCCTAGGTGGGTCGAGTTCTGGAGCGACGCGGTGGTTGATCGGCGCCGGAGAAACTCGTCTTCATCATCGTCAAATTCGTCGCCGGAAAGGTGCTTCGACATGCCGAGAACCCAAATTCCAAAATGGGTCGATGAATACATAGAGCAAATCGGATCGGTTCTTAGAGAAGGTGGATGGTGCGAATCCGATATAGCAGAGATCGTACACGTGTCAGCATCTGGATTCTTCAAAGGGGAGATGGTTTTATTGGATAATCAAGCGGTTTTCGATGCACTTCTTTTAAAAGCGGATCGGTTCTCAGATTTACTCCGAAAAGCCGGGTGGAGCTCCGAAGAAGTTTCGGATGCACTAGGGTTTGATTTTCGACCGGAGAAGGAAAAGAAACCTGCGAAGAAATTGTCTCCTGAGCTTGTAGAAAAAATTGGGAAACTTGCTGAATCGGTTACTCGCTCATGACACAGCTCTCAGATTTTTTTTTCCTTCTTTTTAAATTTTATTCTCTAATTCTTGTTTTAAAATTTTCAAGGCTCTCGGGGTTTGGATTTTCTCTCTTTTGGGTAAAAAAAAATAGTAAAATATATGGGATAACGCGTTGTACTATGAAACAGAGAGCAAAAAAGTTACTGAAAAAGAAAAAGTTAAAATCACATTGTTGTTCATATAATAATATATAAATAATAAATGAAATTTATAGTTATTTTCTTTCTTTATTACTATTTGTTATCTTGTTTCACTGATCAGATTTTCATTTTTTGTTAATTTTTTGGTATTTTCAATAAAAATGGAATAATTTTGTTAGCTGAACAGGCTCAGCTCTCTAAATCTGCACCAGTGCACGTGTGCTTATTTAATTTTTTTCATTTTTCAAGAAATATAAATTTTTATTAGGTTCCACTATTTGGACATGCAAGCTCTAACCAAATTTTTGATTGATTCTTCACTTCAATTTAGTTTTAGTGACGAGAGTATATAGTAATCTATGAATTAATATATATTAGGTCGACTTTTTTATATATAAAAAAAATTAGGTTCAAATCAATATTTTTTCTTATAAGAGCAAGCCAAGGTTTAAATAAAAGTTTGAAAGAAAATATTATATGTAATCAATTAATCATCAAACTATGCTCCCGTGCGACTTAATATTACATTGGTTCTAAGTGGTTATGAATATCGTGGATTTGAGAATTAAATCTAAAAAAAAGAAAAATCTCAGCTCGAATAATATTTTTTTCCTTAAATTAGAGTCTTTTACATGTTTAAAAAAAAAAAAAAGGTTAAGCTCTCAAAGACTCGGACACTGTTGGTTTAGCTGTTACTTTCATTTCCTTTACTGTTTTGGTCAGGACTCAAAGTGCATTTTCATCTTTTTGGAACTAAAAAAAGAATAGAACCTGACATATTGTTGAGAACACAGGTCATGGAGATGTCTGGAAAAGATCTCTTCTTTTGAGAAACTATATAGAAATTAAGACATTTATTTGTTTATTCTTAGGGTTATTCAAATTTGATAAGAACATTATTTATTAAATTTGAGTTTAATTCATTTAAATAATAAATATATTTGTGTTTAGTATATATTTGATTTATTTAAATTAAATAAATTTCTTTATAAATATATATAAATGAATATGTTCATGAATAATTAAATAAATATGTTTATGAATAATAAATAAATATGTTATAAACAATAAATAAATTATAATTAAATAATTTAAATAAATATATAATTATAAAATTAAAAATAATAAATAAATAAATAAAACTCTAAACGAATTAATTTTAAATAAATTTATTTGTAAACATAAATAAATCAAATAAATATTTATTTATATTTAATTCATTTAATAAACAAATATAAACTTAATATTTAAAATTATTTATTAAAATTAATAAATGAATATAAATAGATTATATTTACTAACAATTCATTTAATAATAGAAGATGTGAGATTATTTTTTATTTTCTTTTATTTCTCATATCATTATTTTCTTTAACTTAATATTTTATATAATATAATTTTCTTGAAATTTGGGAAAAATAAAGATAATGGGGGGTTTCCAGTCTCCGAAACCTTCTCACTTCACCGTTTAGCTTTTAAGAGACAGAACAACGAGGTCTGTGTGTTCGAAGCTGCAATAGCCCCCACCCCAACAAAACCATAATAATATGAAATCCGAATCTTATTGTCTATTATATTCAGTTGAAATTTTCAGAAAAAAAGTTGCAGAATAACTGCAACTATTTAATGAGGGAAAAAAAAATGAGGCACATGATGTGGGGTCCAAAATGGGTTTGGGTTCCCACATTTAAATTTTTAGAAAATTTGTTTATGTATTTAAAGGATTGAATCGGATTTTTTTTATTTATTTAAATGTATTTAGATATATAAATTAATATTATTTAATTATTTAAATATTCAATATGTATAAACTATAAATAATATAATTAAGATATCAAAATATAATAAAATAAAAAAATTTTAATTAAAAATTTCAAAAATTCAAAATATATAATAATGTTTGAGAAAAAATAAAATATCCAAAATATTTATAGATAAATAGTATTATTGAAAATATCAATAAAATATTAAATTAAAAACTAAAAATTTCATCATTTTAAAACAACTTTCTTCAATTTGTTCCATTTTCTTTTTGTCAATTATTGTCATACACTTGCAAGTTTATATAATTTTAAAATAATTTTTATTTATTTAAAAAATAATGATTTAAATATTTAAATAATATATATAATAACTTATTTGCATTTATATTTTTTTCATAAGTTTTAATAATATATTGATCTTCAACATCTATACGATTTGTCTAATTAATTTTTTTCCTTGTTTTAAATTTTACATTTAATGTAAAATTATGTTACTATAAAAGTTGAAATAAAATAATTTTAAATTTTAAATAATTATTTTTAAAATTTGTTGTAAAAGGGTTTTGATTAGAATGTGTCAATTCTCATTCACATAATTTTGTAATCAATTTCAATGATAAAAAAAAAAAAATTGCTTTTTGTTTGTACTATTTACGCTTTCAGGGAAAAAAAAACCAGTGACACTATAAAAGAATTAAATTATAAAAAAATTAATTTCAAACAAATAAACATGATTGTACTTTTATATAAAATAATTATGTTAGAATTAATACTCCTTTTTAGCCATTTGCTTTTATTTATAATTAAATAAACAAATAAAAGAAAATGGCTAAAAAGGAGTATTAATTATATAAATAAACAAATAAACAAATCAATAATTAAAAGTAAGCTTATAAAATATTTTCTAAATAAATAAAACCAATAAAAAATGCCTAAATAATTAAATCAATATTTTTTACCTTCAATTGTCAAAATGTTTAAGAAAAGTTATTATTATGCTAAACTAATCTTCTTTCTTTGCTCCAATATTTATGAATTATCAAAAATTTTCTATAAAATCAATGAATACACTCTTGAACAAATAAAATATTCAAAAATTTCATAAAAATTTTAAAAACAAAAAGTATTGATTTTAACTTCTTAACATGATTATAACAAATTTAATAAAAATTTGTGCATCTTAGTTATAAAAAAATTACAAAAATATAATAAAAAATTTAATTCATCTCACAAGTTAAAAAATAATTTCTTTGCAAGCATAAATGTTAAAAACACAAAGAAATAAAATTAATATTGAGAATATTGTTAACTAATAAATTATTAAGAAACCTATTTTAAAAATAATATAACACTATATTTGAAAATTTTAAATTAAAAAAATATATATAGATTATTTGGAAATGCATTTTTTAAAACATAATATATTTAAATTATATTTTGTTGCTAGCAACTTAATAATAATTGAATTGATCTTCCACTTAAATTTGAAATTTTATATAATTAAGTAATTTTTAAATAAATATTTTTTTATAAATATCTTAAAATTAGGAAATATTTTCATATTTTGTTATTAAAAAAATAAATTTTAATGATTTTCCTACATGTCAAAAAAAACAATTCCACCAAAGCATCCATATAAACAAACCTTATAAAGTTTCTATGTTGTAATATAAAATTATATATGATTTTGAACATGAATTTAAAAAACAAATAAATAATCAAAGCAACATAAGTTAAAAGAGAAGAAAAACAAACACAAATTTTGAAGTGAAATGTAATATGTAAAGATTAAAAAAAAAAATCAAATTTTGATTTTTTTTTCTTTTGCAATGTATGACATAATTTTGTTGGGTGTGCTTCTAAATGCATTACTATTCTTGTTTTTCACACCCCTACTTTAAAAAAAAAAAGTGTGAAATTACTTAATTAATCTTTTTACAAGTTTTTGATATCCATATTTGATAAATTTTTTAATTTTTTTAAAATTTATTTTCGAAATTTCATGTAACTTACTATAACTTTTGATAAATTTATTTTCATAAGTTTTAAAAAAATTACAAAAAAAATTTATTAAAACTTTTATGAATTAGTTTAATGAAAAAAGTTATTATTAAAAAATTATAAAATTTAAAATTAATAAAAAAAGTTAATTTTATTATTTTGATCTTAGAAAAAAATAAAAATATTAGGAGACCCTAATTAAGATTTTATTCTTCTCTAAAATCAAAATAATAAAATTAACTTTTTTTTATTAATTTTAAAATTTATGATTTTTTTCTAATAATAACTTTTTTTCTTTACATCAATTCATAAAAAGTTTTAATAAAATTTTTTTTTTTTTGGAATTTTTGTTAAAATTTTATGTTCTCTCTTTACAAAAATGAATTTTCAAAAAATTTTATAACTTTTCATTAATTTATTTTGGGTAAGTTTTATAATTTTTGAAAATAAATTTCAGAAAAACTATAAAACTTGTTGGATATGAATATATGAAAATTTGTAAGAAGAGTATTTAAATAATTTTACTTATAAAAATTTTAAAAAATAATGGAATATAAAAAAAATTGTATTGCACTTATAAACTCCTTTTTGTTGGCATTTAAGAGGGATATCTTAGGTAATAAAAGTACCTTTGGTGTGATGGTGTTTTGGTTAGGTTTGTCAAGCTTTGTTTTATAACGTTAGAAAAGGAACATTAAGGCAGGTCCACATGTGAAAGGAAAGGCCGAGCGAAGTACGACGAAAAGAGGATTTTGGTTCATTTTGATTTCTGAAAAAAACTACTAATTGTTTTGCTAATGATTTTGGCAGTGATATTCCAAACTCAAACGAGCCTCGATTTAATTCATTGGTTCACTAGTACACAACTGTTACTTGATCCTAACAAACGAAGTTGAATTTGATAATAATTTTGTTCCTTAAAATATAAAGTTCTTTTTTTTTTTAATTGAAATTGTTATAACAGTGGAATATTAATTATATAAAATTTTATATTATTAAAATAATAAGTGATATATTTTGTAAGAAATTCTGATAACTAAATTTAAAAATATAATATTTTATTAACTGATTA